GAATTATACGTTTTAAGTGGGTGATTGTATAGTATGTGAATTATAGCTCAATAAAGCTGTTTTTAAAAAGTACGTAACACAAACTTATATACCTAACTGCTAATAAAAAAAGAAGGAAGGTGTTTAAAAATAGCTGAGATTTACTATAATCAGGTATGGTAAGACATGCAAACATGGATATGACATGACTGTCATGAAGGAAGAAGTTTCTACTCACATTTCTTTTTTTGGCTGCGTTGGGTCTTCATGGCTGTGTGCGGGCTTCCTCTAGCTGATGAAAGCGGGGGCTACTCTTCGTTGCGGTGCACGTGCTTCTCATTGCAGTGGCTACTCTTATTGCAGAGCTCGGGCTCTAGAGCGCAGGCTCAGTAGTTGTGGTGCACGGGCTTAGTTGCTCCGCGGCATGTGGGATCTTCCCGGACCAGGGCTCGAACCCTTGTCTCCTGCATTGGCAGGCGGATTCTTAACCACTGCGCCACCAGGGAAGCCCTCTACTCACATTTCTCTGGAAACAGGAGGCAGGGCATGCCATGCAGGGCCACTGAGGGAGCACTGAGGTCAGTCAGGGGGCAGAGGAAGGAAGAGGAAAACCTGGGCGAGAGCCTTTACTGAGGTTTCTCTGGGAAGGCAGGGTGAGCAGGCTTAGGATTGGCTAGTTTGAATAGCCTCAGTGGGCTCTAGGGTAAAGACGCTGTCTCTAGTTGTCTGGTACCTCACCCTGAGATAATTAGGGCAGGGGATAGTGACCCATTGAAGGAGGTGGTTGAGGTATGGGCTCTGGATTGATTAGTGTGCATATGTTCTTATATGTGCTTACAGGCCTCTAGGAATTAGCTAACTCTGGGAGAGGCAGTCGCTCCAGTGCCAGCAAGGCCCCAGATGTCAAAGCAACAAATACAGGAAATTAAAAGGTGTGATTAGGGCTTTCCTGGTGGCGCAGTGGTTGAGAGTCTGCCTGCCGATGCAGGGGACGCGGGTTCGTGCCCCAGTCCGGGAGGATCCTACATGCTGCGGAGCGGCTGGGCCCGTGAGCCATGGCTGCTGAGCCTGCGTGTCCGGAGCCTGTGCTCTGCAACGGGAGAGGCCACAACAGTGAGAGGCTTGCGTACCACAAAAAAAAAAAAAAAAGTTGTGATTAATATAAATGGTGTAAAGAAACAAAGGGTTACCTATAGGAAAAGGGAAAAAATAAGGTGAAGATGGACTTTTTTATAGATTTGACTTTGGAATTGTATAAATATTTTGTGTAATTATAAAACAAAACTAAATTTAAAAAAAGGAATTCCTAAAGAAGGAAAATAAATGCTCATTCAGTTGGTGACATAGTCATTCAGAGAGGAACATTTCCAAGTAATATCTTAATCGGTCTTCAATAATGATATTGTTGGTAGAGGGATTGATACTGCTGTTTTGAGACTATTGTGTGTATAGTGTAGGATAAAGCAAATAAGTAGTTAAGGTGGTGATGCTGAGAACTAGGACTTTGGGTATGAGAGAAAGGAGATACAGATAGAAAATCTATGAGGTTAACCCCAAACTTTACGTTTTTAATTTTGAATTGGAAGTGTCAGTATGAACTCATGATGTAATTTATCTTAAGGAAACTGAAACAAAAGTAAAAACTCTATAGCTTTGCCTACTGAAAGGCTTAGAAACAGTGTAGCAATGAGCACATCTTAGTGCCCAGATAGTGGTCTCTAAAAATCCATTTCTTAATAAAAAGTAACTGGGGCTCTTTGGAGAGTTGACCGATTCCAGGTCTGGGGCAAGATGAACTTGTCTTGTCATACCAGATGGCAAGGAAGTTATGTAGGTCAACTTGAGTCATGTCAAAAGAACTCAGAAACCAACTTGAAAAGGCTTCTACTGGCCAAAGATGAGATGATTTTGAGCATGATAAGGGTAATAACTGCAGTGGATTGAAATACATCAAATATGTTTAAATTCATGAGTACATAATGATACTAAAGCAAAACTCATCAGTCACCTTTGGAGAATGCTAGAGAATCAACTCATTATTCAGAGTAACCATGTAGTTGATGAAGAGTGTCTCTGAGGGGAAATATTCCAGCTAATAGAGACAGGATACCACCATTTTGCAACCTCTAAGGAATTAATGCATCTAAGCAATGATCATCAGTGTCTGGTAACATTCCAAAAAGAGGTAATGAGATATTACATACCTCTTGATAAAAGTCTGAAGTAATTGAACCAAAAAAATGCCACCTGAATCTGATCAAACCATTAGCACTTACTTTCAATTTACAGGAAATTGGATAGGAGAGGCCTGAGGAACATGTTAAATTACATCATGGGGATGCAATCAGTAAAACCTGTTATGTGGGAAACTACATCCTTGCTACTTTGAGTCTGGTCCATAGATCAACAGCATAAGCATCAGCTGTGAGCTTTTTAGAACTGGAGACCCTCAGGCCCTATCCCAGACCTGCTGAAACAGAATATGCTTATTAACAAGCTTCCCAAGTGATTCACATGCACATTTCAAGTTTGAGTAGCACTGCTCTATGGAACAAATAATCTAGAGTCTCCAACAAAGAAATTGTAAGAAAAAAAAAAATGAGATGGAGGGACAACTCAAAGATTAAAAGACATTTGGAGGCATATCAATTATTTGCAGGTAGAGAACTTACTTGTATTCCATTCAAACAAACACATTTTAATGTTATGAAATAATTAAGAGAATATTTTGGGTTTATTTCGAAATAATCTGGGTGGTAGAGAGAGGAAAGTAGGTAGGGATGTGGATGAAAATAGTTTGCTATGACATGCTAGTTTTTGAAGCTGGGTGATAGGTACAGGGTTTATTATTTTAATTTCATACTAAGATTTTTTTCTATAATAGTTTAAAAAGGATTGGCTAAAATGGCTATAATCAAAAAGGTAGTAACAGGTATTGGCAAGAGTGTGGAAAAAATTAGAACCCTTGTACATTGCTCATGGGAATGTAAAATAGTGTAGTTCCTTTGGAAAATAGTCTGGCAGTTCTTCAGAAGGTTAAACAGGGGGTCAGTATATAATCTAGCAGTTCCACTCCGAGGTGTATACCCAAGAGAAATGATAACGTACGTTCACGCAAAAACTCGCACATGAATGTTCATGGCAGCATTTTTTATAATAACCAAAAAGTGGAAACAACCCAAATGTCCTTCGAATGATGATATGTTCATTAATATAAAATATAGCATATCCATATGATGGAGTACTATTCAGTAATAAAAAGAAATGAAGTACTGATACATACTACAACATGGATGAACCTTGAAAACGTTATTCTCAGTGAAAGAAACCAGTCATGAAAGACCACACATTGTATGATTCCATTTATAGAAAATGTCCAGAGTAGGCAAATTTATAGAGACAGAAAATAAATTAGTGGTTAGGGGGAGATTTGTGGAGACATGAACATTTTATTGATACATTCCCATGACTGCTTATGGAGTGGGGGAAATTTTGGCAGGGAGGGGTGATGAAAATATTCTAAAATAGATTGTGGCGATGGTTGTACAACTCTGTGAATATACTAAAACCCATGGAATTCTACACTTTAAATGGGTGAATTGTATGATATGTTAATAATATCTCAGTAAAGCTGTTATAAAAAAGGGAAGGAGAGCCTAATACTGATACCCGTGCTCTAGGCTTACCCAACACTAATCAGAATCATTGGGAGGAAAGTTGTCTAGACGATTCTAATGTGCAACCAGGACTGGGAACCACTGTACTAGAAAGTTAGCCGTCAAGGATTGTTAGAAGAGAGAGGCAAGATTATCTATTTGAAATGATAGCCTGGAGGGGAAGCCTCAGGGATGGCATCATAGCTGACCAGTCTGCACGGAAGAGACAAAAATCTACAGTGCGGAGCCCTCTGGGTGCACATTATCTATTCCTGTGGTACTAAGTAGAATGGAAATAAGCATGAGAAGTCTTTTCTTTTTTCCAATAAGTATGTTAGTTCAGAATTGGTCATCTTCAGTGTAACACCCATAGGTGTTAGGGTTATTTGTGCCACCAGGTGGTCTAGCTTCTTCTAAGTTACTAAGAATGAGCACAGACTTTGTCGATGGGATTTGGGGGTACTAAATCATAATCCAAAAGCAACAGTCTAAACAATTAATTTCCCTAAGTTTCTTTCTTCCAGAGAGTGTTCTAGATATTAGTGAGAATCTATAATTTTTTTTTTGCTCTCCCATTGTTACATTGCTCCAGATGAGTAGACATAAAGCCAGCTGTAGTGTTCCCATCTCTCTTCAAAAGCATTTATTAGTCAGGTGACAGCTTCCTGTACTGTTGGACTGGGCAGCAGAGAGGGAATTTGAAGATGTACTGCACATGGTGTTTGGCTTTTGAAGAGAAGCTTTGGAGAACTGGCCTTGGATTCTGGTTTCCCTGCCCTTTGCAAGTTATTGATTGCCCTGGACTTTCAGTTTCCTTAATTAATGAATGAAGTTTAGACTAGGTTCTCCTGAAGCTTCTAAAGTTTTGTGGTTTACTACATCTGTCTTTATAGAGGCTGTAAATATAGGATGGTGGTTAAGAGTTTGTGCTGTGGAGCTTGGTGACCTGGCTTTGCTGTTTCCTGGCTCTGTGACTTTTGATAAGTTGGTTGACCTCTTTGCCCATTGGTTCCCCCATCTGTAAAACGGGGATTGAGAATAATATCTACCTCACGATTTTCTTCACTATAAAGTGTTTGGAGCAGTCTAGCCTGTAATTTTATTGATATGCTATCAATTTATCTAGACAGGTCCCTCACTCTAATTTAGGCATGATCAGAACTCTCTCTTACTACCAAATGCAACGTTGTGTCTGTTATCCCAGGTGGTAGATCTTTTTGGAAAAGTATGAAACAACCATACAAAAGTGTTTGGGCAGTATATAAGAAGTTTTAGTTTCATACTAAAAATACTCTCTAGTATTTTAGGAAGCATATTAGATGTTCTAATTCTACTTTTTTCTCCCTGCCCTATATCCTCATATAGGTCAGTTCTCCTCGGGTCTCGGGGACTTGACATATCCCACATCTCCCAGCGATTGGAGAGTCTGAGTGCAGCCACCACCTTTGAGCCTCTTGAGCCTGTGAAGGACACAGACATTCAGGTAAGGGCTGCCAGGTACCAGGACTGGTGCAGGTGCAACCCTGAGCATGCAACCCAGGCTGAAGGCCCTGGCCTTTTGTTCACCAGCTGGTTTAGGAATACCACATTTCTTTGTTAATTCTCTTCTTCCTCAGATATTAAGAGAATGGGAGGCTCAGCTTTGGAGGAACATTGGATTATTTTCAGAGTGCTCTGTAAGGCTGAATTTAGGAAAGCATTTCCGACCTGCACTTTTTAAATTATTGTAATTATGAGCACAGATTTCTCTTCCTTCTTTGGGCTTAATCCAAGGCACGGAGACATTAGTTGTAAGTTTCTCTTGCTTTCTTTGCTAGATCTCAAATAATTTTACTATTCGTCTTCCACATTTCTTTTCTACATCTTGCTTGTGTGGCTTGGCAAAGAGCTGGGGAAACTAAATAGCTTTACTATTTACTGAAACCTACTCATCGATTTCTAGGAAGTATTTGGCTCCATTAGTGGCACCAGGAAATGGTCTAATAGAGCACTCCTGTCTCATTTAACCTAGCATGCCACTGGCACAATTGATTGCTATTTTAATCTAATCAGAAACTGGTTTTGTGTGTGTGTGTGTGTGTGTGTGTGTGTGTGTTCAGAATTGTTAAGGAAAAATCTTGTGATCCATTTAGTTGTTTGGGTTTTTTTTATATTTGTTTATTCATTTATTCATTCATTCATTCCTTCAGGCTGCACCAGGTCTTAACTATGGCATGCAGATTCTTTAGTTGTGGCACATGGACTCTTAGTTGTGGCATGCATGTGGGATCTAGTACCCCAACCAGGGATTGAACCCAGGCCCCCTGCATTGGGAGCACAGAGTCTTACCCGCTGGACCACCAGGGAAGTCCCGTGATCCATTTAGTTCTGAGGAATTGGAACACTGACTTGTGTTAGAGTGAAGGGATAGTGGGATACCATTTTCATCATCGATTTACCTTTGAGATGAAAGGATGCAGGTCCTACAAAGGCAAATCCTAGTACAGATGAATCTGTTATTTATTATTTGGGCTCAATTTGAATTAATACTCTTTACCCCACCCTTCTGAGAACTGTTTTAATCCATCTACAGCAATGGCCATAATTCTACTGCATTTATTCCACTTGAGAAACCTAAAACCCTCAACTTTGAGTTGAGAGTTCAGTAACTATAGATATTCATTATTTTCCCTGTTATTGATATGTTCCCAGAGTATGAAAATCCAGTTTTTTCCAGTTTTATATACTAAATTATATTTGCCTGTCACCTTATAGATGCCTTCTTATTTCCGTGCAATCTTTTTTTTAAAAAATTAATTATGTTTAGCTGCATTGGGTCTTCATTACTGTGCGTGGGTTTTCTCTAGTTGCTGCGAGCAGGAGCTACTCGTCGTTGCGGTGCGCGGGCTTCTCATTGTGGTGGGTTCTCTTGTTGCGGAGCACGGACTCTAGGCACGCTGGCTTCAGTAGTTGCAGCACACAGGCTCAGTAGTTGTGGCTCATGGGCTCTAGAGCACAGGCTCAGTAGTTGTGGTGCACGGGCTTAGTTGCTCCACGGCACGTGGGATCTTCCCAGACCAGGGCTGGAACCCGTGTCCCCTGCATTGGCAAGCGGATGATTTTCAACCACTGTGCCACCAGGGAAGCCCTTTCCGTGTAATCTTAAAATGGCATGTATACTTGCCTCTTTTTTTTTTTTTTTTAAAGTTTTAGCTGTTGCTCTCCCCACCTTCTATTTCAACTGCTTGATGCCCTAGAAACAAATACTTACTCCCATAACAGGTGAGTGAATGAGGTACAGCTCAGATAATTTGAATAATCACCATATATGTGCGGAAGTATTCCTAATAGTGTGGAAAGAAATGACATTTGCTGAAAGGTTATTTGTTTGTTTGTGTTGTTTTTAATGTTTAAAATGCCAAATAAGTTGTTTATTTTAAAAGCTGCGTTTTAGATTTTCTTTGGCATATTTGTAATACATATTTGGAATACCCAGCAACATTTAGTGATGCACTTCATGAATTCCAACTGATGTGGTACAACATTTTTTGCTTTGAGATATTAATGACAGGTTTATAAATGTATTGAGTCATAATGATCATTTATTCTAACCTTCTACTTTATGCATGAACACCGTCCTTCAATAGCCCCATTAGGTGGCTTCCTAACAATGCATGCTTGTTCACATCAAAGAGAGTTTCTTAATTTGGAATGAGCACGGCTAAGAGTTTTGGTCCTGCACCACTGGGAAGTCTTTGAGAGGAAGGATGCCTCCATTTCAAAATTTTACCTCTCAGTTGAGCTTTTCTGGAATAGCTTAAAAAATGTGAAATGGTCACTCCAAGGTAAGTTTTGATTAGTTGGGAATTGATCATCTAGACCTGAAGTAAAGATTTAAGACTAACTAGTTTCAAAATAAAATCCTCTATTGACTTCATCTTCTTGCCAGCAAAGGCTTAAAGGAGAAAATTTAACTTCTAAAGGGCTGAGTCTTTGGTCTAATCTGAGATAGCTCTAGTGATTGTATTGTGTGGCTCAGCTGATCTATGCCTAAACTTCCTGTACACATAGCAGTATCATGTCCTTCCCTGACTTCCTGTGTAGTAGTCAAATATAGGAGCCAAGCCAGCTTTCGCCCTTAGCATGGAGTGGTCCTCCTTTTAATTCTTCTCTTAATGTGTTAGTTGTCCAGGAAGAGTTAATTTGGATATTTTCAATTTTTTGTTTTTAAAAAGACCAGATATACTTTTTTTTTTTTTTTTTCCAGTACGCGGGCCTCTCACTGTTGTGGCCTCTCCCACTGCGGAGCACAAGCTCCGGATGCGCAGGCTCAGCAGCCATGACTCAACGGGCCCAGCCGCTCCGCGGCATGTGGTATCTTCCCGGACTGGGGCACGAACCCGCGTCCCCTGCATCGGCAGGCGGACTCTGAACCACTGCGCCACCAGGGAAGCCCCAGATATACTTTTTGATGGACGTTTTTTTTTCTCATTTATTTTTACCAGCTTTACTGAAATATAATTCACATACCATAAATCTGATCGATTTTTGTGTATGAGCTTTTGTTTTCCAATCAGTGCAGTTTTTGAGATGAGAACGTACCCTAATCCCACTGAGTATCAGTCAGAGTGAATTTATTATGTCAGCTTATAAATTCATAAAAGGAAATGCTGAAGGATCCTTTGACAGGTGCTGTCCAAGACTTTGTACCATCCATTGTTTGCATTACCTATAAGCTTGGAAAGGCATTTTCCCATGAATAGGTTGTCCTTTTCTGTTTGGTAAACATTGATTGTATTTCCTTCATTTTCTAATGGAGCTTGAAATTAATACAGGTTTTTTGTTGTTTGTCATAAACAGTGATGTTGGCATGCATTGATAATGCATTTTTGAAAGACTGCTGTGGCCAGCAAAAGTAACATATTTAAATAAACCCACTTAAATATATGTATGGCTGATGCTAGTGGAATTTTTTTTAATGTTTATTGATTTAATTTTTGGAAATGGTCATAAAGAAGGCCTGCACATTTTTGTAATGGAACTGAAGAGCCATAACTGTTAAGAGGACATGGTTCTAAAACAACTGGACTACTCTATTCTGAGTGACTTTGTGGTGCTTGCAAGTATGATTCCTCTCACAGAGATCCACTTGCTCACTTCTGTCTTTGGAAAAAAATATAGAGGGCAGACTGCACATTTTTACTGTGGTCTGAACAGACCTAATGTACCATGGATGATGTGTATTATGTAGTAATAAAGTGCACAGTTACACAGCTTAGTTATATTCTGGGCTTTTTCACTAGATTACATGTATTTTTCAAGAAGGCTCTGCAGAAATAGCCTGGGTTGGCCATAAAAAATGGGAGCTGCAGTTTCTCGGCGTTAGGCTGTAATATTTCCAAATGGCATTAAACCAAAATGTAATAATATTATTGCTGAACTTACTGTATTAGATTCCTATGGCTGCCACAGCAAATTGCCACAAACTTAGTGGCCTAAAGCATTAGAAATGCATTCTCTCACAGTCTGGAGCTCAGAACTTTGAAATCAGGGTGTTGGCAGTGCCCTCCGAAGGCACGAGAGGAGACTTTGTCCTCTTTTAGCTTCTGGTGGCTCCTGACATTCCTTGATCTGTGGCAGCATAAGTCCAGTCTGCCTCCATCTTCATAGGTTTTCTTCTCAGGTGTGTCAAATCCACTTCTCCCTTCTCTTATAAGGACACCAGCCGTTGGATTTAGGGCCCACTCTAACTCCAAGGTGGTCTCATCTTGAGATGCTTACCTTAATTACATTTGCAGAGACCCCATTTCCAAATAAGATCACATTCACTGGTACCAGGAGTTAGGACTTAGACATATATTTTTGGCAGTACCCACTTCAACCCACTATACTTACAGTGCCAGAAAATTTAAAACTGTCAATTAACTGTAATAAATGAAACATCTTCAAATCTAACTCTGTTTCATGGGGGAGTTTCAGGATAAGACATCTATTTCTAGTTGTTCCAGGGACTGCAAACCTCAACCAAGTATCTGATCTCATCCTCAGCACTCTCTTTCAGGCCTTGGAAAGTGAGGCTGACTACCCTTGTGTGATTCCAGAGTTTAGTCATAGTCATTCTCTCCAAACAGGTTGATGTTCTATCATATGTTTAAGAGATTTCTCAAGAGACATTTTCCAACTAGAAACAGTCTGATTTTTTTTTTTAAGTATTTTTAAGTACTCTAGTTTACAGGGTAAGTATAGGTAGGATTAAATTGGGGGGGGGGCGTGTGAGAAAGAGATTTCTACTTCAGCTAACCAAGTTACCAAACTCTTTCATTTTCCTTTTATACTTTAGGCCTTTGCTCACCCCCTTCCTTTAGCGTGGAGTAGCACCTCTGAAAATGTCTGAGCCATAATTTCAGTCTGACCCTCTTAAGACTTTCCTAGATGCCACCTCTTTCATAGTCTCAGATCTCTCTTGCCATGGCCTCCAAATATAGCATGTTGGCTTTACTGCTT